ATATATATATAATATACATATTACGGATTCGTTGAGTGTATCCAACTTCCAGTCAAGAATACCTTCAAGGAGATGCTATTAGCGTTTTTTGTGTCATTCTATCCTTGTTTTACATCTGATGATCAATGAATGAAATGACACAAATAACTCTAATTGGGATATCGATCATGTAATTCCTTAGGGCGGAAAAGTGAAAAGGAAAAATGTTTTGCATGTTTGTGTGTATATGTTCATACATACATACATAAAAATTTTCACTTTCCACTCTAGAGAAAAAGTTATATGATTGATATCCTAGAGACACGGTAGTGTCTCGATGCTAAGATAAATGCAGCGTCATGATGCAAAAGACTGCCGTGCTCCTTTACAAGCCGGCGAGTTGCAGCATATTGAAATTATTGGATGTCTTCCCGAATACAATCATGTAAATTACTCATTTTCAGTTCAAAATTGAATGTTACATACATGATGTTACATCCCTTTCATGTTTTTTATCACATCCAGTGTCAATTTTTATCATTACCTATTTTGTATATACATATTGAAATATGTAAAAAAGATATTTACATTGCATTATAATAATATATTATTAACATATTTCTGATATAGGAATGATATATTCAAAGTGTTCTGGCATAGAACCATACCAGTAAGATATTATATGGTTATATTTATCATTACAAATAATATTACATGTAACATTTCCGACACTTGTGTGATATTACATCTACATTCGAGTTACATGTGTGTTTTGCTGGATTATATGTATATAAAATATATCAAATCTTCAATATACTTACAGGTAGAGATTCCAGCACCTGCCATGGTAATGATTTTGCAATTTGTGTTTTCTTTAATATACTCAACAATTCCATCTAAACTGAGTTTGGAAAGAACCAATTGCTGTGGTTCATTATTTTGATCATTTGCTGGCAAGTCAACAAGTCTTAATTTTTGAGCTAAATATCTACGTAATTTTTCCATCTCAGAATAATTTTCTACTTCTGATTCAGATAAAACATTTTGTTTTTCCACATTTAGACTATCATCTGAAACAAATAAAAAATTGATCTTTAAATACATACATTATTTTAATAAAAAAAACCTACAATAGCCACACAAGCTTTGCAATATATTTTAAATGTTCTTAATACTTATGACATAAAATTTTCATCTTATTAAAAGCTTAAAATAATTATTTTTAGATCAATTTGCATAAAATATGTCAAATGTAATACCGAGAAAAGACTATTAAAAATTAAATTGTAATTAAAAAAGTATATATATATATATA